CAGCTAGGTCTTTCTGTAATTGTTTGGTCAATCCTTGTTCAAACCTCTAAGCCTTCAGTTCTTCAGTCGGGACAACCTCAGGTGCAAACCTGGCAAGGGTCATAAACTTATTATAGTACTCTAAAATTGACATTCCGCCCATCTCTAAGTTTATAAACTCCTGAGCCTTCTGTTTCTTCAGAAATGGGGGGGTAAAACTTGTCTCTCAAAGCAGTCTTAAACACTTCCCACCCAAAATTTGGTTTGGCTCTAATAGCTTCAACATTATCTCTCCACTAGATGTCAGCCTCATCCTTAAGATACATAGCAGCTTGATCAACTTTCATACCCTCAGAGCAGTTCAGTGCCACAAACTGTTTCTTAAACTCTCTAATCCAGTTTTCCAGGAAAGTAGGATCAACACCTCCCTTGAAGATTGGTGGCCTAACTTGAGCTAACTTTTTAAACATCTCAGCTTGGGGATCGGGTTGGTCAGCCCGATTCTGATTCGAGTTCTCAGCCAACATGTGGATGGCCTCAGCTAAAGCAGCATCATTCGTCATTCTAGTTCTACGCTTGAAAGAAGGTAAACATTCACTCCAGCTCAAACAAAATTCAAACATCGTGCACATATATTCATTCCATCACAATATTACATTTTATCACATAAATTGGTTCAAAAGGGTACTTTGGTCTTTGCACCCCTTGTCCCAAGAAAAATCAAACAAATATAAGCACAATCCACACGCAGGATTAAGTAAAGTTAAGAAAAATAATTCCCATCCCGCGCCACTCTTACTCAACTTAATCATAAACAAAGAAGTTTGCCTCAGAATTATAAGTAGTCACAAAATTTAACTTGTTTCTAACTCAAAAATATAAATAAAGATGGAATCCTTAAAATGAAATAACAACTCTTAATATAACTCATATGAACGTACTAATCCCAAACAAAAGTTTGTAGCTCTCTGGCACTTATTAAAACAGATACCTTATTCCATAAAAATCCTAATAGTCACCAATAATAAATAGGAACTCCTAATACTATTCTATGCCAGTAAGTATAACTTCAAGGGACGACATTTGAGTTATTGTCTTTCTCTTCTTTATAAGTATTAACATAAAAAATAGGGTCATTCTCATCATTGGAATCTTCAATAACAACTATGTAAATTGGATTTGGATTTCTTCCCAACTTGTGGTTTTGGCGGTTCTAGGTCCTCCTCGTCATCCGATATCTCATTGAGGATCCTCCTAATGGCCTTCTTTTTGTCTTTCTTTTTAGTTGTTCTATACTCATACCAATGCTGGTATGTTACCTCCCTTTCATCATTTTGGTTTGGATGTAAGGTCCACTCATCCCAAGAGTCTGTGCTGTAATCGATGTTAACTTCCTAATTATGCTGAGTCACCTTCACTGGATTTTTATCCATCTTTCTACGTTATCCCAACATAACAACCATTCAAAGAATTGCCATAAGCACATCATAGAGAAAATTAATTAGAACACGATCATACAATTATCAAATAACAACTCGCAAAATAATTAAATAAATGCAAGATATTCAGTATGCATAAATCTCCTTTCTAATTCTACCTGAATCTCACCAAATAAATAATTCAAGCTTCAAAGTTATTGTATAAACATTTAAAACAATTAGTTCAAACACAGTTAAATTTAAAATCATTTTTTGACTTTTAAATATAAAATCCTTAATCGATTAGTTAGGCACCTATTGAGACATACTAATTGGCTTTAGTGGTAATTAAATCAAACCTAAGCTCCCATATACCACTTTGTAAAACCCCAATAATTCTCTCTTAAAAACCTATAAATACCTTTAACAATTTGCAAGAGAATTACTGACGTGCTACCACCACTGTTCAAATGTTAAGGCTAGTTCAGAAATTGGCAGCGGAAAAACTATCTCAGTTAATAATTAATTTCAAAACCAAAAATCAAAACCAATTTAGTCTTACAAGTTGGAACCATTATGGCCCTTATTCAAAACTCAATAAAAGTAGTAAATAAATCAAACCAAAGTTTAATTAAATCCAAACTTATGAGATGAAATGTACTGTGGAAACATCCAACACTCCACTCAAAATCCCACCACCTTGATGCAAGTTCTGATTATGTATAAACTTGTGATTAATCTTTTCCCAAATATTACAAGTGTAAAAATTGGATCATCATGGGGTCATTGAAAAGGTGAAGGCCATGACCAGGAAATAGACACACAAAAGCACACAATCAGCAATGCTGAGTACATATAAGCTACGAATTATAACAAAGAATCCTTAAAATGTTACTAAAAATCAATTAGCACACACAATTTAATTATTGACTCAAACACACGCTTCAACTGTTAACATTACTAAGACTTCACTAACAATAATTCCTTTCATTCCATTCATTGATTGGATTAGGCAATAGACAAGGTTGTCACCCCATGCTCCATTTCAGAACATCAATAAAAGAAAAACCCCATGCCTCCTTTCGGAAACATCAATAAACATCCTATGGCAGACGGGCGCGACACTGTGGCCATAACTAGTATGAGATCTCATCTAACTCCTTATAGTTTTAAAAAGTATTTGAAAACAAGAGACTCGTAGATCAGACGGCCTCTAAAAAGTACATGGCTAATACCCCGTGAACCACAACCCCTGATTGTCAATACTCTAGATGTGCACAAATCTTGAGTTTTATTGCTCATCCATCTTGCACTTTACGTGATTTACATGTTTAAACTTGGTGATGACTCAAATGCAAAAAAACGCACCTAATCATACATCAATCATTCAAACAATTCAAATTTCTAATTCAATTCTTGATTTATTTGTGACAAACAATATTTAGTATTGAATCCTTTAACTACCTCGGTGTATAAACTCCTTAAGTGCATAAGGCACCTCAATCCCCAACCTCGTCTCATAAGACTTTAAATCTCCCTTTACTCATTCCATTTCAATAATCATGAAAGAGTAATATAATAATTCATTCCATATATTCTTGTACCTTTGTCTCTAAGCTCACCTTGCAAGTTATTGTATACATAATACTTATAAGAAAAATTAATACGCATTTCTCATACATGAATCAAACCAATCATCACATTAATCATCAATTAAACTCACTACCAAACAATTTCAACCTATCTACAAGTTTCCCTAACATGACTCTATGGTTTTTCAAGTCCTTAAACATGCTTCTAAAGTCAAGGTTTTTGTGTTCTTGTACATACCTTGAGTAAACGAGTTGGTTGGCCACTTTAGGGACTAAAAATCGCCTTCTACAAAGTCCTCTCATAAACCAAACAAAAAAAATTCAATCAATACCCAAGCAATATAATTTACAGTAATACTAACTTACTTTAAAACCCCTTAAACCATTGAAATAATGCTTTTAAATTGTTCCCAATAGCCAAAGTTAATAATTTAATAGTTCAACTATAAGTTTATATGTTAAAATCATGAAAATATAGCTTCTAACATAAAATTCTAGCAACTTTAAAGTAAGGATTATAATCTGGAAATTTAGTTTAAGAATATAAAACAACCTCATAAACATCTCTACTTGAAATAATCATTATATAGTAGGTTAGTATGTTAAAAACCTAAAAATCCATCATAGAACCATGATTTAAAACCTATAAAACCAAGATTAAAAATCTGAAAATTTACTTTAATAGTAGAATGTATGACTACAACAATCTAAACTTGGAATATATGATTAGAATTCAATTAGTTTCATAAACTCAATTAAACCTTCAAAATTCAATTGAACAACGCTTTAAAACCTTCCTTCTTACTAGAATTAAAAGCCTTTATCTAATTCTTTATGTTTCCTACACAATAACCATAAATTACACACTTATTCATGAATTTACAGCAAGTTTGGACTTTATGAAAATCTGAAAATTTATTTTACACATTAAACCTTCGTTAAAAATCAAAAACTGCCCGAAAATCATATTTAGAAGCTGATTTTGACAACTAGAGGGTGGTTTTCACTACAAAAGGTAGTGAGTTTTGATTAAAATGTCGTTTACACACGAAAAAACCTTTTTTTTTTTTTTGTAAAAATCGGACGAGTTAGAATTTTAACATGATTAAAACGTGATAAAAAAATAATTAAAAATGGAGATCAAAGTTGATTACGGAACACTGATAATTTGTTTTTGAATTTAATATCATCAATTATCATAGTAGAATAACAATATAATCATGCTTTAATTAAATAACTTTAGCAACACGTTTTTAGGCCCTAAAACCATAAAAATCAAGTTTTAAACCCTAATTTTCTTAACTAAACATATCTGAATTTTAAATGCATAGTTTAAACATGATAAAATTTATAAATTTATAATCTTTTAGGATAATTAAACATCATTAAACCATAAAAATAAAAATTCAAAACAAAAACTTAATAAAGATTATAACTTGAAATAATCTAACAAAGAGGAAGGAAAGAAGGAAGGAGAGAGAGAAGGGTTGCGAACAGGTAGTCGTGGGTGAGGTGTGGTGGTCGCCGGAGCAGCGGTGGGCGCCGGTGGTGGGCTTTCGTCGGCGGCAGCAGCACAACAGCGAAATTTATTTTATTTTATTTTCTTTTTTTTTTCTTGTTGAATGCGTGAAACAGGAGAGTAGTAGTAGTAATATTTTGGGAGGAGAAAGGTTTATACGTGAGTAAAAGAAGGGGAAATAAGGTGCAAGGCTTTTTAAATAACCATGGGCTAAAAGGGTTTTTAATCCTAATGGAATTAAAACATTTATTTAGGCCACAATTGGATGGTTAAAAAAGAGGTAGGCTTAGGTCACTTAAAATTGGGCTACTATTATTCTAACACCATTGTCAAAATATGGTTAGTAAGAAAGCAGAGAGAATTTTTAATTAAAATAGTGCTTATTAATTTAATAAAGTTCAAATTAATTTTCTATAAAATAATTTATATAACAAAATCAAAATAAAATATTCTTATACGTAATAAATAAATATAATTATAATTTACTCAAAATTATGGGGGATTACAGTCTTCGTCTGTCTCATCGTGCTCGATCTGAATAGTATTGATGTAGAGGGATAGTGGGGTTGCCTCAAGGGTGAAAGGGTTCCCGGCTATCACTAGTTTGACTTTCTGGTGTAGCGAAGAAGGCACAGCCTTGAGTTCATGTAGCCAAGGGCGCCCTAAGAGTAGGTTGAAGCTGGTATTGATGTCCAAAACATGGAAAACCACTTCCTTCTCTATTAGCCCTGTGATGACCTTAAGAGTAGAAGTCCCCATAGACTGACGCCGTGTGTTATCATAGGCCTTAACCCCTTGAGAGGACTTAACCAAGTTGTCGAGGTCTATTCCGATCTTCTTTGCAGTTCGCAGAGGGCAGACATTGATTGCTGAGCCGTTATCTACAAATGTCATTGGCATATTCTTTCCCATTGTCACCACAGGTAGATAAAGTGGCTTGTTGTGCCGAACCCTTCTTGGAGGCAGATCTTTGTCGGATAACGTGATGGTTGAGTTGGAATTTTCAACAGTCAATAGGCCAACTAACCCGTCGGGGCTCATGTCAGATGGCACATTCATCTTGGTGAGGGCATCCAGAAGTTTGTTTGAGTGCTCATGGGAGGAGGTCAGAAGATCCCATATGCTTTTGTCAGTTTTAACCTTCTGTAGCAGCTTAACAAAGGCATGGGTTTTCGCAGGAGGGATAATCGGATCGGGGAGAGGAGGAGGCTGAATCGGCTAAACTGTGTTAGGATTCTACAGCCTTCCTTATCTAGTCAAAGCTTGAACTTGATTCCCTTGAAACCAGTCTATTTGCACAGGAGCTATGTTGAGGTCAGGGAGCTGTCCAACGAAGACATCTTCATCGTCGAAGTCCCATACTCTATTGAATTCCACGAACTCTCCTCCCATCTCCCAACCAAAAGTCCAATCAAGCGACGGTAGGGTATAACTTGGAGGATACTCTAGGGGCAGTTCGAATTGAGCGTTCCCTCGGTAATCGCTCGCATATTCCCTGTGGGGTTCTCCCCAAAAATCGTTAAGAAGGAATCGTTTGAGGGGATCCATGAGGTTGGGGTGCCAGACAAACTCTGGTATTTTCTTTCCCCATTCCCAGCTTACGCACATGCCTTTGCCCAACCATGAGGCTTCACACCTTCTCTAGACCTCATAGAGCATGTCTTCGAGGAGGTCGGCTATTGATTTCTATTGTTCGTAAAAATGCTTAGAGGGTTGTCATTTACATACCTAGGAGCTCTTTTCAGTTGGATATGGGACCCCATCCCATCCTGATCTCATTTTTTCGATCATGACCCTCTTGTAGCAATCACATATGAGCGGGTCGTCTGGAGGTGGGAAGTCATCGGACGTTTTCTGCCCCTTAGGCCTAAGCTCCGAAATCAAGGTAATCTAGGCCTAGGGTGAATCCGGAGGTGTTGTGACCTTAGATCGAGGCGAGTCGTTCTAAGGAGATGAGACAGGCACTCTTGTCAACACCGGAGAATCATAAGGAGTAATAAGCTCCATTGTGAGTTCACTAATGTACTCATTGAGGCTTCATTGACGCTCTTCATCCTCATCAAGCTTAGATGATTTGCTGCAACATATGCAATTGACCTCGTGGTACCACTTATAGCACTTGATTTTCTCCAAGGACATTGAGTAGTTGCGGGAAGTGGGTCCATCTAATTGTGGCAGAGGGACTTTGATTTTGGCTGCGGTAAACTGACTGAAATGATGAGCTTCTCGGCACAGCGAGAAAGGTAGTCATCGATCATTTCGTCCATTAATTCCCACTTCCTCTTTTCCTTAGGAGGCTTGCTGAGACAGATATCGTTGATTTCGTAGTCATTGAAATCGAGGTCGTGATACCACTCATGGTATCTGATTCCTTCCATCCATAGAAACTCTTCTTTCTCCGAGAGTTCAGGGATATCAGGGCTTATCCCGATCATTTCCTATAAAGATAGGTGTAAACATTCTTAAGCGGGAATCGTGTATGCAGGCGGATACCATGGAGGAAGAGGGAAAGGATCTTAGGGGTGAGCACTTAGTAGCTCAGCCCACTTCTCCAAGGAGCACCGGAGATTAATGTACAAAGTCGGGGATTACCATATCCCACTCCTTGCAAGCACACATGTCGATGGCAAGGGTCTTTTCAAATCTCGTGGAGGGTAGTTAATTGTAACCCTGTGATGGTTTCTTTGACAGGGGCCATTGCCTTTGAAGGCTGCCAGTCGCAGAGTTGGAATTTCTTTTCCTGGGGGTATGCGTCTCCGTCCCAGAAGGTACGCAATCCCTCTATTCGCCTGCGCTTAAGGTAGTTGCAGACGAATGGATCTGTCGAAGGTGGGAGATCGTCCGAAGTGAGCTTACTCAGAGATCAAGGTAGTGGAATTCAAATGGTGCGGGAGGATCCCAGGATTTGCACCGGAGTGATCATGTGCTCTGGAGAAAGAGTTATCAAATTATCCTCCTCCTCATCGATATAGATTGCTGAGATTGTGATTGCAGCCCCTTGCTTGGCGCCTGGAGGGAAAGACAACTTCTTGGAATCAACCATGTCTTGGATGACATGCTTGAATTTGTAGCATTCTTCGATGCTATGCCCGTTCCTTGATGGAACTTACAGTAGGCATTGGGGTTCCAATTCTTGGACCGTATTTTGATACGTATTTTCTAAATTAATTAATTACTTATTATTTCCTAAAAAGGGTATTTTAGTAATTTAAATTACTATTTGAATTTTGGAGCCAAAATGATATTTGAATTTTGGGGCCAAAAGTATTTTTGAAACCTAATTATTATTTTTAGATTTTGGATAATATTTATTATCCATTGATTTTGTTTTAAAAACCAGATTATTTATATATTTCGGATATTTTTAGTAAAGCAAAAACTATATTTTATTATTTAAGGTCCAAAAATTCCTAATTATTGACTAAGATTTTCGGATTTTCCTAGTGTGGAAATTCTGATTTTCTAGGTTAATTTATTTAGTGAATAATTGGTGTCTTTTTAATTAATTATTTTATACAATAAATATTATTTACACGATTATTTTTAATTTCTTAAATCTAGCAAAATAACTCCCTAAAATATACTAATAGGATCCGAAAATTTGAGCTATGTAAACTTAATATTTTCGGCCCTCATGGTCAAATTTTGGGTGATTTATTTTGGAAAACTGTATTTTTAATTATCTTCTTAAAATCTCTTATTTTCCTTAATTTTATTTCTCCATCTCCTAAATATTTGATCATCTTATTTTCCTACCTTATATCTTTCTTGATTATTCCCCAAGTAATCTCTTTTGCCATATTTTTTTTCATGACAACACACTTTCCTTAATTCTATTATTCTTAATCACCTTAATATTAAAACTTTCCATATTTCTTTCATTCTCTTCTCCAAGTAATTCCTTAATTCTTTTTACCATAACTCTTCCTACATTCTCCAACCATAATTCTTGCATGAGCTAGCCTAAAAATACCCCTCATACCTCTCATATTCTTCACACCAAAAACTCAATTCTCTTCTTCTCATTTACTCTTCTTTTCCCCCAACCTTTTTCTACTTTTCTTTTCCTCTTTTCTAAAAGAAAATATGCCCGTATATTTTTGGAGCCAATTTTCGAACACTTCTGGTCAGTTTTGGGGTTTTGCTATTTCACAAAAGATTGTTCCTCTCAAAAAAATCCTTGAGGTTAGGCTCAAGAACCACCCAATTCGGAGTTATATCAAAGGAGTTATGACCTCTGCAAGTTCTGCCTATTCTTTCCAACGCAAATTCAATTCTCTTTAATCTTATTCCTTTATTTTCTTCATGGTTAGTTTTCTAAAATATAAATACCTATTTTAAAGTTATAATTTTATATTAAAGTATTATTTTTAAGAGAGTTTTATAGTCCATGCACATTAGATTTGGGTTTATGTCTAAAGATGTTGTGATAACCTTATGGTTATGTTAATTGCAAGGTGTATTCGTGATTGAACTTTGAAAGTGCGAAGTGTTGATTGATATTCATAATCATGGTACGTTTAGGTGTCTAGATACCTTCGAAAGTGATTGGTTAGAATGGCATGATTTAATAGATTTTATTGGTGATTGAATTAAATTGATTTGAATCATGATTTATGAAATAAAGTATGATTGGAGGTATTGATTTTAATATTAGTTTTAATAAATGTATTTTTAAAGGATTGATTGTAATATCATGTTTTGAATGGTTTAAATTATTTATTATGATTATAGGAATTTGGTTTTTTTTTTTTTTAAAAAGTGTGTTGGAGTTTTTCAAAGGAAGAGTTATTGATTTTGAAAAGTTATTTATATGAGATTTAATTCTCAAGTATTTATTAAAAGTTTTGATTTTAAGAGCTTATTGAATTAAATACAAAAGGAGTTATGAGTTAATCTATTATAAAGGTTGATTTTATTCAAAGATGAATTTTATTGAATAACTTATTAAAGCTTTACAAGCATGTTGTTAGTAATCCCACTATGCGGATTTGATTGATAAGACTTTGGACTTTGTATGACCGATTTTCCTCAACAATAGTCTTGCAATATAAGGAGACTAGTTTGGGGGGTGTGCACACTTTGGTGAGGAATTGGTTTTAAAAAGAGGAATTGCTTTTATTGAATTGATTATTGAAATATTGAATTATTGGAATTGGTTATATAAATCGTTTCATCGAATTATTGAAGTATTGAGAATTGGTTTTGAAACATGAGTTTTGGAATTCATTGGATTAATTATTGGAATTGGTTTTAAAAGCAAATAAATTGAATTCATTGAATTATTTTTTTTTTTTGACACAAAATTCATTGAATTATTGGAATATTGAATTATTGGAATTCATTGTTTGCAAATAAATTGAATTTACTTCTCTTGCACTGATCGTACTTAGCATATTTTGCTAATCCGTATTTCCTATTTGTTTTGGTTCGCCCTGTTTACTGTAATGGTAAGCAGTGTTGACTAATTTCAGGTGGAGTCAAGAATTGAGCATATGGGAGTCCCGGGAATGTTCTTCACCTAGATTAGGAATGTAAGTCTTTGTTTATTTATGAGTACTCATGACAATGGTTTCTATTTATATTATTATAAATAAAGAAAGAGTTTAAGTTTTCGCTGCAAAGTATTGGTTTTGGTTAGTAAGTTTGAGTAGCCTTGCGTAATCACGCGGCGGTAATACGCCTAAGTCTATCTCTACGGTATAATTATATGCATTATACTAGTATTTCCATAGAGGGAGATTTGGGGGTGTTACAACCATGTCTTGGATGACATGCTTGAGTTTGTAGCATTCTTCGATGCTATGCCCGTTCCCTTGATGGAACTTACAGTAGGCATTGGGGTACAAGTTCTTGGACTGTTTCCCCTCACGAGGGTTAGGGGTTGGCCCTACTAAGGTGAGATGTCCCAACTTAGTCAGACGGTCGAAGGCGTCGGAGTAGCTCATCCCTAAGTTGGCGAACACCCGTCGAGGCCTACTTTGAAAGTTCTTCTGACCTCCTTGAGAACCTTGATTGTCAACCCAATTCACCTCGGCAGCCTTAGAAGAGTCATTCTT